ATAGCAGCAGTCACATTAACTGAAGGCTTACGGCTGGCACTGTGCTAAGACGCTGCAAGTATGAGCTCTCTTAATCCTCACAACAACCCCAAGATGGGAGCTATTGCGGCTGAAGAAAGATTTGAGCTCAGACAGTTTGCATCCAGCAATCACATTCTCAGCTCTGAGTGCATATGGGGCTTTCCCCCTGAAGAGGAGTTGCCCTGTGGAGGCCAGGGGCAGGGCATTCCAGGAGGAGACCATGCCTGCACCAAAATAGAGGGGGAGCTGGACTCAGACTGTGTTAAGGTTTTCCCCTGAGGGAGTTGGGGTCCCCAGATGGGAACACACCACCCCTTGGGGCAGCAGAGATGGGAGGGACACCAGGCTCTGGCCCCATCTGTCTAAATAGGAAAGGAGACGCTGGCTGCCAAGGGTCTGGGTGGGGAATTGGAGAGCGGTGGAGGGCTCTCTCTGTGAGCTCAGCTGCTCCAGCGATCAGCGATGGGTGATGGGCAATGGGCGGGAGCCAGAGGGTAGAGGCTGGGAGTCTGGCTCACATGGCTTCACAGAGCCTGCAGGGCAGAGAGCCCAGAGCACCAGGGCTGAGAATCACAGGGCTCCTGTGGTGGGGGCTCTGTTTATGGATTTGCTTGTATGGAGGGTTAGCTCTGAGAGAGGCTGAGGGGGTGACAGGCTGGCACAACCTCTGTGACCCGTGGTGGCCCCCACGCTTTGGCCCCCAGGTAGTCTCTGTGTGGCCTCCTCAACAAAAGCACAAGTCCCCAGGCCAGGGGTCAGCCTCGTGATGGCCTTGCTCCTGCCCCTTGGGCTTGCGGCGGTTCTCAACCTGTGGGTGGCGAACAATGAAACTACATCCTGCATATCAGATATTTACATTACGATTCATAACAGTAGCAAAATTACAGTTATGAAGTAGCAACGAAAATAATTTTATGGTTGGGGGTCACCACAACATGAGGAACTGTATTAAAGGGTCGTGGCATTAGGAAGGTTGAGAACCACTGTTATGGAGGATCGTCAATTCAGCCACCAAAGATAGGGACGGGAGGGGCTCCTCAGCCTTTAAAGCAGCCTGATCCAGAGGATGGATCCAGAGGATGGAACCAGAGGAAATGAGCTCCAGCTGCAGCAAGAGATATTCTAGTTAGACACAAGGAAGCACTGGCCTGAGATGCTGAGGGAAGGGAGCAGTAGCTGTTTCGGGGGGAGACTCATCCGTCTGTCTCACAGTCTGCCTCTCTGGAGGACACTTGGTGGGGACTTCTCTCCCCCCCTTCCTTCACTAGCTCCTTCATTTCAGTTCCCTCTCTCCTTTCCTGCTGGCCGCCCACCTGCCTCTGAGGAGACCAGAGGCTCCCCCACCCTTCTTGTCCCAGTGTTGCTGGGGGCCTTTGAGCTCCCCACACACTCAATTCAGCCAATGCTTGCTGAGGCCCCCACCTGCAGGAGGTGAAAGACCTCCAGGCCCTGCCCAGGGCACTTCTCGCCCAGCAGAGAGAACAGACAGTTAAGCCAATGCCTACACCCAGAGGAAGGGCCAGGATCTAGAAAGATACACGCCAAGGTGATGGGGCTCAGAGACCACAGCCCCAGGGGGGCCAGGGAAGGCTTCAGAGAGGTGGCAGGTGGGATGTCTGGGCTGACAGACATCAGCGGGAGCAGGCAAAGGGGACAAATGAGTGGAGGAGGGAAGCAGAGGGTGGCATATTCCAGAAATGGCCGGGTTGACTGGCTTGGCTGCAAAGGTAGGGTGAGATCTGCTAAGAAAACAGACACATTGGGGCCAGACCTCGAGGTCCTGCATCTCAGGCTGAATGATCTGCACGTCATTTGTAGGGTTTTGGAGGAAGGGCGTGATGTCGGGGCTGGGACCAGGCCTTCTGGATTTTGCTCCTTTCCTAGGACCTCATGAAAGGCACTGGCCCTGATTCTGAGCCCACAGGCTTCCCAGGGGTTCCTCAGGGGAGCAGGTGAATGGCATCTCAAATGACCCCTTTCTGTGAGGCCTGTCCTGATGACCCTATTATTAACACGAGTCCCTGGCACTGCCAATCCCTCTTTCCTTCGGTTCCATCACTTGTACCTCCTTCTAATGCACTTCACCCATAGATTATGCCGTTTATCGCCTCCACCCGCATTAGAACGAAGGCCCCATGAGGGCAGAGTCTGTGTCTGTTCGACTGGCTGCTGAATGTTCCAGTGCCAAGCGCGGTGCCTGGAATCCCAACAAATCCATTCATCTGTTGAATGAATCAAGAGAAAAACACCACCCTGCCCGAACCAGCAGCAGGGTCTGTCACTTTACTTCTGGCTTCCTGAGCTTGGCATCACCCGAGTGGAAAAATCTCTGGGAAAACCAGACAGAACTACTTCTCCCCTGCTGCGCCTCTCACGCTTGCCAGGAATCTGGGAAGATCTGGACTGTTCCTCCTCTCCTCCTCTGCCAAAACACCACCCCTTTCCTTCATCTTGGGGTGCAGGCCAGGCGAGGAAAATTTCTGCTAAAGAGAACAAGAGGCTGGCAGTCTGGAAGAACAACTGTGATGGACCGAGCAGAACATCTGCAAGTTACTGAGTGCCCATGCAGGCACTGTACAGGTGCTCTGGCATTTGTTCCATTCCTACAAAATGGGTATTATCTTCCCATTTTACAGATGGAAAAACAGAGTCTCAGAGAAGTTCATTGACACGGACAAGTTCTCCCCACCATGTGAAGAGTCTGGTTTTGAACACGGGCCTCCCTACTCCAACCCAGTGCCCCTTCCTCCATACACTGGCCTGCCTTCTGCCAGCTGAGATGCAGGGTGTGACGCTTGCTGTGTTCTCTGTCCAGGGCTCCAGATGGGGGGGGGGGGGGCTCTGCTGCCTTAGGCTTCCCACCTGAGCTATAGGAGCTGAGGTTTGGGCCACCTCCAAGGGCTGAATGAGAACAATGATGTCACATCTGCCACCTGGCCTGAGCTCATCGCTGAGTGTGAGTTATAACTGCAGTGACTGCCTGTTCTGGCCTGTGGCCAGGCATCCTGTCCTCACCTTCAGGTTGGGGCTGCAGTTGGCCGCACTTCCGTTCCTGAGGGTCTCAGTTCTCCCACCTTGAGGGTGGGCACTCCCCCAGCAAATGTGAATGACTTCTTATTATGTTCAAGGAAAATGAGTTTCTGCCTCTGAGGCCCTTAGAGGGCAGGTCAGAGAACAGTCACTAAACGTGCAGTGGGAGCCATGGGGGATTTTCGAGCAGGGGTGTGAGATGACGGCGCTGTGCTTTAGGGAGGTTAATCGGGCAGCAGGCGCGGATGGGGAGAAGAGGCTTTTATAACGATCAGAACTAACATGTTAAGCACGTAGTAAGTGCTAGATGTGGTTTCAGCACTTTACAGTTACTAATTTCAACCTTCACTGGCATTATCTCCATTTTACAGATGAGAAGACTGACGTACATAGAGATGACACGGCTTGTAGGTGATGAGCTGGGAATCAGACCGACCTGACTCCCGAGCCTGAGCTCTTCACTTCTATTTGATGCTGCTTCTCCCAGGAACTTAGGCTGGATGGACAAGGGTTCAGCACCGGGTTGGGCAGTGGGAATGGCCAGGGACAGAAGTGACATACCGCCTGCTGCTAAGCCTCCTTGCCCTGGAGAGCTCTCACAAGCCAGGCCAAGAAATTATAAGGGAGCGTGAACATCGACCGCTTTGATCTGCACAGAGAAGAACTATACCTAAGATTACTTGTCTTGATAATAACAACGATGGCAATGTTCTTGGCCAACAGCCCACACAGGATAAATTCTTTTATGGAAAAGAGATTTTAGAGACACTCTCAAATAAAGAAACCTTATCACCGTTACAGCTTCTCTTGACAAACCAATCCTTTCTTGATGTTATTAACTTGTCTACTTAATAGGGAAGAAAGTATCACTTAGATGCTAACCTGGCTTTATACCTTCCAGCTTTGGAGGTTTAATCACCTCCTGTCTCTCTCACAAGGGGCGGGGCGGGGGTGTTGCTAGGAGTCACCAGATGGGTGGAAAGATAGGAAAGGAGTGAGGTGCAGAGGCTGTGGGGGGCAGAGGCTGTGTGTGTGTGTGTGTGTGTGTGTGTGTAGGAGCTGGCGGAGGCAGGGCAGGGAGGAGGCAGCTGAACCCCGAAGGGCTGCCTGAGACCCCGGCTTCCTGTGCTGTTCTGACCAGCTTATACCTGAGTCCTCTGAGCTGTTCAGTTACAACCTTTAAAAATTTTTTTTTGAATGTTTTAATTGATTTTATTTTTTGAATATATTTTTATTGATTTCAGAGAGGAAGGGAGAGGGAGAGAGAGACAGAAACATCAATGATGAGAGAGAATCTTTGATCAGTTGCCTCTTCCACACCCCCTACTGGGGATCGAGCCCACAATCCCAGGCATGTGCCCTGACCAGGGATCGGACCATGACCTCTTAGTTCATAGGTCCACACTCAACCACTGAGCCACATTGGCCAGGCCATTTTAAATGACACTAATGCTTGAGAAGTCAAACGAGGTTGAGGTTGACTGTACCACCAAGATCCCTCCCAGCTCTAACGGTCTATGAAGATACCATTTGTCATAACCCTTTCTCAAGGAAAGGGGGGTGAGAGGCAGGGAACTCTCAGAACAGCCATGTCTGGCTGGGCTCTGGGCCTGTCCAAAACCAGGGCCAGCTGGGCAAGAGCCATTCCGGGGACCCAGCTGGCAGCCCTGTGGGGGGCATTTCTGTGGAGTAGGGGGCGTCCTAACCAGAGCCAGAGAGCCTTTGCCCCCCCCAGGCCTTGGGAGCCAGGGTCCTCTGGAATAGTGTTCTTTGGAGATGGGATGGGCCCATCCTGCACCCCCTCCCCATCAGGTTGTGGGTTTGGGGGCTTCGGGATGGCCTTTGCCCAGCACTGACAGGAGAGCCTCAGGCCACATTTCCCAGGCTGAGGAAGGAGCTGGTGCGAGGGGCTTAGCCCTGCTGAGTGGGAGAATGGCAAGAGCACCTACCTGGGCAGCAGGTGAGGTTTGGGGCTCAGGCAGATGGGCTGTCACCAGCCGTCCCTCCTCTCGATCTGTCGTCAGGGGCTTCCGAGGGGCCCAGCCACCGCCCAGCTGGACTCCTAACCACGAAGGTGGCTGGCGCAAGGCTCTGTGGCACAGGGACAATGAAGCACCGTCAGTGCCGGCCGGCATGGATCCCAGGCCTCCCCTGGCCTCCTCCCCCCGTCCAAGCAGGCCAGGTCCCTCCCAGGTCCAATATGCTGGTCAGCATCTTTCCCCAAGGCCTGCTTCAGGGGAGCCCTGATGGGGTGAGGGGCACCCCAGATGCAGCTATGACTCTCAGTCTGCCCCCACCTCCACATCCAGCTGCCCCCCACCCTGGGGTGAGTGAGCAAGGGCCATCCTTCATCTCAGCTGAAGGGGCCAGAGGGGAGGGGGACCATGGATGGAGCACTGCCTTGGGGGTCCAAGCACTTCCACTGGAGCACCCTACTTTCCTCGCTGGGGTGGGGGGCTTCAGCCTAGATACACAGACACTACCAGCAGGACTGCCCGGGGGAGGTCAGAGGGGCCCAGAGCCATCAGGTGACTTCAAGTGGGACTTCAGAATCATTTGGTGGGGACATTGCTAACATGCAGGTTTAAAGGCCCTGCCCTAGCCCACTGAATCAGACTCTTCAGGAAGGCACCCGGGAATCTGCATTGTAATAGGTTCCCCACGTCGATGCATATGGAATAAGACTCACTGGACTAAGTGCTGGGAAAAGTCCAAGGACGGAGCTTTGGTCACATGCATAAAGGGGCCATCAGTCCCTCTCCTGGGAGCAGCATCAGAGCAGCCCAGTCTCTGCAGACAGACCGGCCAGGGGGCCTGGGCCGCTTGCTGAAACCTCTCTAGGCCTCCCTTTCCTCATGGACAAAATGAAGGTTGGAAACGGTCTCTTGGGCCCTTCCAGATGTAAAATTTTAGTGTCAAAACTGGTGAACCGCCCTAGCTGGTTTGACTCAGTGGATAGAGCGTCAGCCTGTGGACTGAAGGGTCCCAGGTTCGATTCCAGTCAAGGGCACATTCCCGGGGTTGCCAGCTTGATCCCCAGTGGGGGGCATGCAGGAGGCAGCCGATCAATGATTCTCTTTCATCATTGATGTTTCTATCTCTCTCTCCCCTCTTCCTTCCTCTTTGAAATAAATAAAAATATATGTATTTTTAAAAAAACCTGGTGAACCCACTGAGGAAAGAATTTGAAAAGAAAGTTCAGGGTGAAGCATCTTAAATAGTATTATTCCTTATAATCGGTTCCTTTATAAATAGTCTTTTTAAATTCAGAAAATAATGTGCTTATGGGAAAAAAAAAAAGAAAACCACTAAAAATAATACACATAATGAAAAGTCTGCCTACTATCCCAGACCTCTGTTCCACCCCAAATATAAACACGGTCAAGTTCCTTAAGTTTTCTCCCAAAAGTTTTTCCATAAATATTGACAAATACGTATCTATGCCTGTGTTTTATTTTAAACCCAACCAGGGACACATTCCTGGTACTCTGTGTTAGTTAATATACATTACACATCTATCCATAGCAACATAGATCATTCATGTAGCAGCTCATAGAGTTCCCTTGACGGAGGCTATAATTTACACGAATCTGTCCTGTCAATGGATGTTTCGGTTGCTTCGACATTTTTGCTGCACAAACAAAGCTGCAATGAACGCCTATGATTACGTATCTTTGTGCATATGTGTGAGTTTAGCTGAAGAATAAATCCCGGGGTTAGGAGTTAAAATGTAGGTATATCTAAGATTCTGATAGATATTGTCAAATCGCCTTCAAAGAGGATGAACCAGTTTGCACTGCCCAGCGGTGCATGAGAGTGCCTCTGCCCTCCACCCTGGGCAGCACGGTGCATTAATGATGAGAGAGAATCATTGATCAGCTGCCTCCTGCAAGCCCCACACTGAGGACTGAGCCCACAACTGGGGCATGTGCCCTGATGGGGAATCGAACTGTGATCTCCTGGTTCATAGGTCGACGGTCAACCCCTGAGTCATGCTGGCCGGGCTCAATGTGTAATTCTTAATCATCAGAAAGGGCAGACATTATTTTCATGTTTATTGATTGATTGGCCTTGGCATTTATTTTTCTGTGAACTGTTTATATCTTTTCTAATTTATCTTACTGATTGTTAAGAGGTTTTTCTGAATGAAGGCAACTAACTTTTTGTCATGTGTATTGCAAATTGTCATCTTTCTCTTTTTTAACATTACTTATGGCATCTTTTCCTTACATGAATTTCAGATTTTTCTGTAGTCAAAAGTATTTCCTACTAGAGGATCCTAAAAATATTTGCTTGTGTTTTTCAATAGTATTGTTAAGGTTTTCTTTCTTTCTTTTTAATCTTTCCTTCCTTTTAATCTTTTCCTTCTAGAATTTACTTTGGCGTAAGGAGTGTGATAGGGCCCAGATTTATTTTTTCCCAAGAGGCTGGCTAGATGTTTCAAAATCATGTTTGAATAATCCATTTCCTTCCCCCACCATCACCCTCCCTCTAGATTAAAAATCTCAATTTATCTGTGCAGTAGGATGGGTACAGAGAGCATGACCTCTGAGTCAAGTGCTAGTTCAAATTCCAATTTCATGAGATCTAGAAGTTACCTAACCTTCCTGTGTCTCAGTTTCCTCATCTAAAAGTGGGGACCACAATAGCACCCTCTGCAGAGGGTTACTGTGAGGAGTAAATGAGTTATTTCAGATAAAGGATGGAGAGAGATGCAACCATGTGCTGTCTACAGGAGACGCACCTCAGCTGTAAAGTCACACATAGGCTGCAAGGGAAAGGATGGAAGAAGACATTTCATGCAAATGGCAACAAAAAGAGAGCAGAGATGGCCATACTTATACTACAAAATAGACTTTAAGTCAAATACTGCCATGAAAGACAAAGAAGGGTATTATCTATATATATAAAAGCCTAAGCAACCAGAACAACTGGTCGCTATGATGCACACTGACCACCAGGGGGCAGATGCTCAACTCAGGAGCTGTCCCCGGGTGATCAGTGAGCTCCCACAGCAACCTCCCCCGGCTGGCCAACCTTCTGTGGTCCCTCCCCCGAGCCTGCAGGCACAGAGGCGAGGGAAGGAAGAGTGGGGCGGAGTGGGGGGGAGGTGGGGAACCTTGATGGTAGCATTGGTGTCCAGAGTCTGTTCCTTCTGTGCCTGTCCCGGAGACCGTGGCCTCCTCTCCCGACCCTGCCAGGGCCTTTGAACCCCTGGCTGGGACAGGGAACAAGGGGTGCGTGGCGGCGGACACGGCCCCTTTCCCAGGGGGGGCCAAGGGCCGGCTCCCTCCTGGGGCCGGCGGCCAACCTCCTGCAATCCCTCCCCCCCCACCCGTCCTTCCCCCTGGCTGGCAGGCCCCAATCAGCCCAGCCCTGATCGGCCTGGCCCCGATTGGCCATGATCTCCAGCCAGGCCTAGGGGCCCCACCCGTGCACGAATTTTGTGCACTGGGCCTCTAGTATAATTATAAAAGGTTAATTCTCCAGGAAGATATAGCAATTATGAATATATATATATACACCTAACAGCAGAGTACCCAGATATATGCAGCAAACATCGACAGAGGTGAAGGGAGAAATAATAGCACAAAAATAGATTTCAATAAACCACTTTGAATAATGGGTAGAACAACCAGACTGAATATCAATAAGGAAACAGAGGACTTAAATATCTTCAACACTATCCAGTGGTTCTCAACCTTCTGGCCCTTTAAACACAGTTCCTCATGTTGTGACCCAACCATAAAATTATTTTCGTTGTTACTTCATAACTGTAATGTTGCTACTGTTATGAATCATAATGTAAATATCTGATATGCAGGATGGTCTTAGGTGACCCCTGTGAAAGGGTCGTTTGACTGCCAAAGGGGTCGCGACCCACAGGTTGAGAACTGCTGCATAGACCAACTGGACCCAACAGTAGCAGAATGCACATTCTTCTCCAGTGCACATGGAATGTTCTCCAGGATACATCACGTGTTAGGCTGTAGGTAAGGGGTACAGAACAATGCCTGGCACATGGGAACCACCATAAGTTGCCGATTATTATGATCACCGCTGCATAGCAAATGTGCTTTGTCTTTGTCTAAATACACTTTTCTGTTCCATTGATCTGTGAGTCAGTTCCACCACTGGACCAATATCTATAGGGTGGGGCAAAAGTAGACTTACAGTTGTTCCTATGGAAAACAATATACTAACTAATAAATAATAATACAAGAATAAACTGTTTCATGTCTCACAACTGTAAACCTACTTTTGTCCCACACTGTATTTTTAACAAAAATTTTTTTGGTTAATCCTCACCCGAGGATATTTTTTTCCATTGATTTTTAGAGAGAGTGAAAGGGAGGGGGAGAGAGAGAGAGAGAGAGAGAGAGAGAGAGAGAGAGAGATTGGTTGCCTCCTACATGCAGGCTGGGGTTTGAACCTGCAACCCAGGTACATGCCCTTGACCAGGGATTGAACCTGAGACCCCTCAGTCTGGTCCGCAGGCCGATGCTCCCATCAACTAAGCCACACCAGCCAGCGCTGCCCCACCCTGTATTAGGTCTCAGGGCTGGGAACAAGGCGTGAACAGCATTAATAAGAGCTGTTCTTGCCAATGCTGGTTAGACTTTCCGTATGTTTAGCACTTTTACTGATATTGCAAATGTTTCCTTCCATTATATTTTAAGAGGCTAACATTTATGCATAGAAAAGCTATACAATTTTTGTTTTAATATTTATTAGCAGTCATCTTAGTATAATTTTATTTCTAAAACAGTGTTTTCAATGGACTGTCTTATTCTTTTTTATTATTCCAGGGGATCAATCTTATCTGCAATTTTAATTGATAAATTGGCCTCCTTTTATAACTTCTATTTTCAAAATTTATATTTACTTGCATTTCTAGAGAAGTGTTAAAGAATAAAGGGAACAGTGGTAATTTTTTTCCTTGTATGTATGTATATTTGTATACCACACATATACACATACATGCATAAAACCATGTTCAGCAATACCCATCTATTTCTGCTAAATATTAGAGACATATGTTCAAGTTTATCAAGTGCCTTTTAGGCATTTTTAACACTTATGGAGCTGTT